ACATTGTCACATACATTTTTTTCAATATGCATGACATCTAAATTGTGACGCAACAAATTGTTTGCTCAATATGGTAGGTTAAACAAGATGCTTTTCTTACGCCATTGTTAAATGTCCCCTTAGATGTACCTCGAGACCTTTTTCCTAATGTGCCTGTCACATTATCTTTTTTGAAGACATTATTAATATTATTAGCTTGTCTCAAAATATCCATGTCATTTAAAAGAATAGGAGGATCTCTGGCTTCTATCAAATTTAACTCAAGATATCCTAAATTTGTGTTTATGATCCAAAAATCAACAATGCCTCATAAAACACCATTTTTGATTATGAGGAAGCCTATAAGAAATTGAATCAAAGTTACAAGATAGGCAAGCTAATCCTATATGTACATTCCAACCAGATAATGTCCCTAAGCTTGGGAAACTACTAATAGTCCACATCAAAGCCGCATGTAAATTAAAAACTTCCTTAGAGTACAAATCATAAGTATCAACACCAATGTTTCCACATATCTAATAATTCTTGAATTAATGGTTGTAACAATTCTTGAATTACCAAGTGCTCTCTTTGTAGGAATAATCATTGACAAGATGAAAGAACTTTGTTTCATACACATCCATGGTAGAAGATTATATGGTATGAGAAGCACTAGCCAGATACTATAACTTGTACTCAATGTCTCAAATGGATTAAAACCATCTATAGCCAAAATTAGCCTAATGTTTTCATAGGTTTACTGCAAATTCTGGGCACAATCCGTTGAAATGCTTTTAGGCTCAAAATCCCTCAGATGTCTTAACATATCATCATCACTTTTTTCATCATAATGCCATCTCATGTGTTTGGATGTCTTTGATGACATACATAACCTCTATAAGTGTGGTTTCAATGAAAAATATCTCAAAATTTTTGCAGCTTTTTTCTTTCCTTTCTTCCCCTTCTTTGACTTCTATCTAAAAGTGTTGCACATTTTACACTCTTTAATGCCTTCATCAAGACCCCAGTATAACATATAGTCATTTGGACACGTACCAATTTTTTTTATAGTTTAATCCTAATTTATTTATCATTTTCCTTGCTGCATAAAATGATTTTGAAATTTTAGTATTTTCTAATGCATCTATTAATAATTCAAAAATCATGGACATTGCCTTGTTACTGATTCCACACAAGCACTTGATGTGATATAATTTTACCAAAAAAGAAAGCTTTTTGTATTTTTCAGATCCATCAAACAAAGGTTGTTCTCCCTCTCTAAAAAATTCATAAAAATTTCTAGTCTCTTCATCCATTTGATTCAAAAATAATGAATCACCACCATCTACTTCTTTAGAAATTGTCATTTCTTGTGACACTCCCAATGCATCATGAATTATATTAATGAACGGATTTTCCTATTGCACTGGAGATAACATTTCAATTCTTGTTGCTTCTAGAGTTGCTGAGGTATCTACATCTACCCTATCACATGTCTCCCCATGCATTGCCCAAAACTTATATCCTCGAGGAAATTGTTTTAACAAGTGCTCTCGGACATCATTCCTCTGATGCTATTTTTTAAAATTACACTTTGGACATGGACAAAGAATAAGTTCAACTTCATCTCCATGTGATATTGCAAAATCTAAAAATGTTTCTAGTCCATTTAGATATTTTTTAGAAGTCCAAGGCAGATTAATCCACGCCCTATCCATCATTGAAAAAAATTTAACTTTTATGATATTTATATCCTAACAACAATACAATCCACACATTAAATATATTTATTTATTAAATTTAATTTAATATTACATTTAACTAAAATCACTTAAAATTTAAAAACTGAATATCATAAACATAAAAAATACACATGCATTAACTAGATGTATATTAATTCCATCATTTATTTATTTTGAGCAAGCACATAATAATATTAAAATAAATAACTATATGGATAAAAATTTAAATTTAATCATAAAAAAGAACTTACAAGCTTTCTTCACAAATATTTTGAGTAAAATATTTCAATAATCTGCTAATTTTTAATAAAATAATCAAAAAATACATTATAAATAAAAAAATTATGAAAATTTTTTTTAAAAATAAAACTCATCACTTTGCACGGGAGGAGAAGGCGGGCAAATGAAAATTTTCATTGACCTGCCTTTTATAGACCTACGAACGCTCCTTAGGGGGTGTTTTAAATAGTACAAATGCCTCCTGAGGGGGTGTTTGTATGTAGAAAGGCCCCCTTAAGGAGTGTTTGGAAGGAAACGCGTGCAAGGGGTGTTTTGGGGGTGTTTTCGTACAAGCGCTCTCTTAAGGGTCATTTAAGTATATAGTACGGACAAACTCCCCCATAAGAGGCATTTACAATAAAATGCCACCAAAGGGGTTGTGTTGTTTGAAAACACCGCAAATGTTCCAATTTTCAAGGTGTTTTTATAAAACATCTTAAATGAAGTGTCTCTAAAGCACAACTTTTTTGTTAGTGTTTGTTCATGTTTATAAATTAAGTTAGTTTTAAATATAATTTTTTTATTAAAAGTAGAACTTTTTTCGTGTTTGGACATGCAGAAATATTCATTGTTTAGTAATATTTAAATCTTATGACATGTTGACATGTATGTTTGATAGTATTTTCATTAACTTTCTTTCTCAAGCATCACATCTGATTATTTTAAAAAAATTATTCAAAGTAACTTCCTAAAATAATTAAAAACAAAGTTTTTCTTAGTTTCGGAAACGATATGCCAAAAAATATCTTAAGTGATATTTCTAATTAATATCATGACTATTATATTAATATTAATCATTAATAATTAATCATGCCTGCACAAAACTAGGGAGAATTTCAATAAAAGATTAGTAAAGCATAATGACATAAATAACCCTACTAAATGCAAGGAAAACTAGCCAAAAAAAGAAGGATTCAATTTCAAGCTAGCTAAGGCTCATGCTATTTCTCATCTTTCTCCTTCTGTAGATAATGTAGTCTTGCTTAATAATATCTCATTTTGACTGATTTACATGGTCTTATTTATTTACATGTTAGGTTGAGGAATGAGCTTGGTTGATCAACCTGAAATTCCATTGCCATTTTAACTTGTCTTAAAGAAATATTCATCGATCTTCATCATCTCATTAAACACAAGTAGTTTGCAACGTGTAGCATTGAGGTGTGGAATAACAACAAGCTTTATTCCACTAGGTAGGGTCAACAACATAGATTGCAGATGCCATTATACTTCATCATTTATTAAGTTTTTAGAAATATTGTTAACTATTAGATATCGGTCAACTATTTTCATAAGTGTTTTCTTTATTCTTCTTAACAGGGCTCAAAATTATTCATTACACTCTCTTCACTAATGCCTCCTGCTGTCTTCTTTGTACATGTCAGGACTATTTCAAATAATTTTTTACTATTTTTTCTCAATAAATGCTACGTCCACTTTTCCTCGTATATGCTCATTTTACATGTATTATGCCATCATGAGGTGTGGAATAATGCATGAGTTATTTACCACAAATGGTGGTGAGCATTTTTAAGATGCAAATTGTATTCCTAAAATATTAATGTTGCATAGTTGGTGGGTTTGTGGATTAAGGTGCTATACTTTTAAGGTATTGAAATTATTGTACTGTCTAGAACAATTATAATGTTTTTGTAAAAAGTTAAATATAATGGTTTAGATATGAGAATTGCAGTTGTAAATTTATAAATTTGTTTGATTGATTCTAATTAAGATAATTGAGGTTTACATTTTAATGAAAAGGATCACAAGAGTTGTGGCTTGCAATTCTTTGAAAAGTAAATTCACGGATCAATCTCAACCTTCCAATCCTGAGGATCATTAAGAGTCATCACAAGTTAAATGAGCTAATGTAACAGCACGGAGCCACCCCTTGGGCCTCGACTCGGTACTGGACTCTGGCCCATCACTGGACCAAAGTCGACTTTCCCACAGGTGGTACTGTGGTTATTCCTCACCACTGCCTCTCCAGGGTCTTTTGGAACCTCTCCAGACTCGAACCTCCAACCTCTACCACCTTAACAAGTTGAGGTTAAGTCTGGTACCATTGAGTCAAGTTGACTCAATGGTACCAGACTTAGCCTCAACTTTGTTAAGGTGGTAGAGGTTGGAGGTTCGAGTCTGGGGAGGTTCCAAAAGACCCTGGAGAGGCAGTGGTGAGGAATAACCACAGTACCACCTGTGGGAAAGTCGACTTTGGTCCAGTGATGGGCCAGAGTCCAGTACCGAGTCGAGGCCCAAGGGGTAGCTCCGTGCTGTTACATAAAAGGCGCCTTTTATGTAACAGCCCTCCTGGGTCACCACTGCCTCTCCAGGGTCTTTTCCCAGGCGCTGGACAACACACATGTCACCACATGATTGCTGGCTTTCCCACTGGTGGTACAGTGGTTATTCCTCACCCCACCCTCACGGGGGTCTTTTGGAACCTCCCCGGACTCGAACCTCCAACCTCTACCACCTTAACAAAGTTGAGGCAAAGTCTGGTACCATTGAGTCAACTTGACTCAATGGTATCAGACTTTGCCTCAACTTTGTTAAGGTGGTAGAGGTTGGAGGTTCGAGTCCGGGGAGGTTCCAAAAGACCCCCGTGAGGGTGGGGTGAGGAAAAGACCCTGGAGAGGCAGTGGTGACCCAGGAGGGCTGTTACAGCTAACCCATGAGTTGGGTGGGTTGTAAAAATTTTGCTAAGCCCTTGTTGGCAGTGAAATATACCATTACAAAGTAAGTCAATTTGCAACTAATAGATCTTTCTTGATTTCTATATCAAATTTTAGTTCTTGTTATAGTGTTGATTAACATTATTAAATGTCAGATAATTATGAAAATAAAATATTTTGGGAGGCAGAAATTGATCATAATTTTAGTATGTAATTAAATCCAACTTACACTAAATATTGAGATAAGAGAGTCCAAAGTAGTCACACACAAAACATATGAAGAAAGACAAGGTTGTGCCTCCGATAAAAAAATCACCGAAGCAGACTCAAATTTAGAGGAAATATGAAATATGACATGCACCGCCACATACACCAAGATGAACTAATGAACTCGATCATTATTCATCATAAGTTGCTTCATTGATTAGAAAAGATCAACGAAGAAGTACTTAATCTTATTCTTGTCCCAGAAGAGTGAGCGGAAACTTGTAATCTCCAGAAACTTCCTTGGCCACTGAATGCTCCAAATGCACACTGTTCATCTTGTAATAAAGATCTTTTATGTCTCTCAAATCCCTCTCAGGCCTTGTCACGATGACACGTGTCATTGCATCCGTATAATTCCCTATCCTCTTAATTGCATTATGCAGAACCTATATATAGATATAAATAAGAAATTTTCCAGCCACGTTAATCTGTCACTTGGGAAAATACGAATTCAATCTCATAAGAAAAGTAATATTGTTATAATTACAGACTTAATTATACAATTTAATCTACCGTTTCATAGTGCTTTTGATGGTCACTGATGCAACGAATGGCACTGTGCACTGCCTTGAGGAATTCATCAGAGGCATCATCCAACAATTTCTACACAAATAAAATCAAGAAATAATTTGTATAAGGAAAATTTTTTAAAATAATAATAAATTTAATCAAAATAATTATTGAACCTTGGTGATGGAAGTTCCATGATCATCTTTGTAGTGATTGAAAGTTGCAACAAGTTGAGTCTTGCTTCTGGTAGTTAGAATCCTTATAACCACTTCGTGATTGCCACTATTGCGTTTGGTAGGATCGTGAAGAATGTTAGCTTCAGTTTGTGCCAACCTTGCATTCATCTCATCACCTTCGAACCTGTATGAGCTCACCAACCCCACCAAAAGCTGCTCAAAATAATTAATCAACTTAGATTACTGTTTATTGAAACTTTAATTAATACGAATCAACAATGTGTATACATATAGAATTAATTATCAACTTTTCTCTTTCAAAGGAACTCATAACATTTGAGATCTTAATTTTTTTTTGGGTACAAAGTTAACTTTTGTTAACAAAGAGAATAACATTGTACTGTTTTCAATTACTAGGGGGAAACATAGACAAAAAAGAAGTTTAGGATTATATACGCTCCTAAATCTATAGTTTAATAATTTATGATAGCATTGCCCTTTAATTTAACCCATATATAAAGCTTAGTTACTTACCAGTTAACAAGGGTATGTTAACTTAACCATTGGTCTTATTGATTTGAGACCTAGCTAGGTATATGCATTACACTAAAAACTCATTAGGAGATAAACTTTCCCACTTATATATAGTTCAATTTGGATTAGTTAGAGTTCAATAATACTTTTGAAAACCAGATGGTTTCACACACACCCACCCATTCTAGGAGAAAAAAGGTAACATGCAAACGTACGCAAGCCAATTGATAATGTTTGCATTAAGGAAATTAAAGCTTACCTGATGAAGATAACCAGTTGTATGAGAAGCAACATCTTTATCCAAAGAACGCTTATAACGATTGTGATAAGCTCGTCTCACAGCCAAGAGCTCTTCAGAAGAATAAATACAAGCGTTTTCCACTATGACACTGTAATCAACATTCTTGCTATTCCTAATTGCCACAATTGCCAACACTGCATCTTGATCTGTTGATTCCAACACCCATCGATGCATAGCTCTCTAGTTTTTTTTTTTGCATAAACTTTTAATTACACAACTGTACTGGAAGGCTAAAATACTAATTTAAATAAATGTATAAGAAGCTATATAAAAACACACAATTCTAAAAGAGTTCTCTCGTCCTTAATACTCTCTATGGTCAAAAATATAAATATTTTCCTCTAGCTAATATTAATTCAAAATATAAGTAATTTAGTATATGTAAAAAAAATTTCTCTTATTTTACCTCTTATATTTACTAACCTAGGTCCTTATGTAAATTTTCTCTCACTCGATATGAAGTGTGTTGTAAATGAGACTAAAGATAAAAAGAGAAAATAATATATATTTTTATAAGAATAAGAACTTTATTGGTATGTGAATTTTTTCTAAACATTGCTTATATTTTATATCAGAGGGAGTATAAGGCATTTGATAAAGTATTAATTATATTTTTTAATATTATCTCTATTTAAACTCATTAACTATGAGAAAGAATATGGTGCAAATTTGAAAAGTTTTCATTTAGAAAGGAATAAAATTAAACATTTATTTTATTTTTAGACAAAATTAATAATATAACCACTTGCCTCTTCTTGGTTCCGACAAGGTAGTTAAATGTGCTTATAATATAGAGGAGAAGAAATATCCTGGTGTACTTCAAAGTCACCAAAGAGCTCAGATTCAAGCCGTTTGATGAGATTCTCTTCATAAATTTCTTCATAAGCTTGTCTGATTTGCTGAATTTGAAATGAATTTCTGTGACCCAATATTGCTATTAGTGCCTTCTCATCAGTGGCGCCCCATCCTACAAAAATTTAATCCACAATACATTCTCTGCAGTAATCAAACCTAAACATAATTAATCTTCTCTTCTATCAATGGTCATTGAGTCTAATATTTGGGAAATTTGATGTCATTTATGTCAGATATTGAGTACAGATTTTGTGGATTAATAAGAACTATGTTAAAAATTTACTTTATTTGAAACCCGTGACTTATAATTCGGATAGTTTTGTGGTATTTGTTACCTCTAGATCCAGATTAAAATTATTAATACTTCATTTTTGGTGATTAAACCTAGTTAAAATTTTCACTTTCATCAACATCAATGAATCGAGTCAAATGGACGGGATTTAAGCAAAAGCGAATCGACGTGTTTCCCAGTTAATAATCTACGTATTTCAGCTAATCTTGAGTCCAAAACTTATAAATAAAAATATAGTTTTAAAAAAAGACTTCTGATTATGAAATTTTGAATAATTAGTATAACTAAATACTAAACAATTTATTGATATATATATATATATATATGAGGTTTACAGAGAAGTATCTTATACCTTTGACAGCCTTGTGGAGAGCCTCAGCATCTTGAACAGGATAGACTTCATTAGGAGCAATAAAGGTAGCCATTGATGAAAGAAATTGCTTGGAGCTTTCAATTTCTTTCAAAGCTACAGATGAAGAAGAAAAGGGGTGCGTCTATGGAAAATTTAGTGTATTTGGATAAGGGTCAAAATCGATTAAATAGCTCAAAATTGATTTTTTGGGCCAAGTTATCCAAACAGTCAAAAAAGTCAAAAATCAATTATTGGCTTATACACGTGTTTTTTCATAAGCTCTCTTAACGAGCTTTTCGCAAAAAGTTATCAAAGAGTGTTGGGAAAAATTATAAAAAAAGCACAACATTAAATAAAATAAAATCAAACTCTCTTCTCTTCTTTATTTTTTTCTTAGTAAAATTTAAATTTTGAATCTTCAAAAAAGTTGCTAGTATAAGTTCTTGTCAACCAAACATCCTCTACTTAGTACTTACTATAAAACTAATTCAAATTCAAATATAATATTAATTGGTAAAGAAAAATTAATTTTATTTAATTTAAAATTTAGGCTCGTTACAAAGAATGTTGCAAAGGACCAAAAAGAGAGAGAGATTTTGAGTCATTTATTACATTACTACATTTTTTATGTTGCTAAAACTTTAAGGTAATGCTTAACATCTTTGTTAAATATAACTCATATCCATGATGTCATTAGAGATCAATTTATATATTATCATCTTCATTAGTTATTGTAAAATTGATATTTAGTATTTAAAAATTAAATATTTCTCTTTTATTAAATTTATTTTAACTAAGATATATTGAGTTACTTATTTACGTAAATTTAAATGTTAATATTAATATATTTAAATTTTTTAATTAATTAGATATGTAATTTAAATAATATATTTTACTTCTTAAATAAAATGCAAAAAATTTAATAATATTATATACAAATTTATCAATAATTTACTTTTAAAAGGCAATGTCCTTTATAGTAATTTATACAAATAAAATTGATTCTGAATAAATTATCCAAACATCTTCAATTCTGTTAAAATGAATTTTAAAAAAATTATATCCAAATAAATTGCGTTATTACATAATTAATTGTGATTAAAATCTACTATTTAATCAATTATTTTTATAATCTATTATACCCAATTGAAATTCAAATGAGCGCTTAGGTTTGATGGAAACCTCAATTTATAATCCAAACAAGCTTCATTGGAATCCACGCCTACTCATGCTTGGTTGAAGTACTTTATATTATTGTATGATCAATGTAATTAATACTTCCCCTATATGATGATGTAAGTCATTGTTAACTAATTTATATTTATAAATAAAGTTAGCTAAAATTTTAATTTTTAAAATTTTTTTACACTTTTTCAATTTTACCTATAAATAAAATGAATATAATATTTGATTTATTTAAAACAATCATTAATTATTTGAGTGGAATATAATAAAGTAAGTATATAATTGGAAATATATATATACAACCTACATAATATTTTATATTTTAGACCAAGCGAGACTTCTAGAAGACATCACATATTGTGGTTCAGAGAAAAGTAATTGTTAATAATATTCCCTCTAATCTTAATTGTAAAGTTGATTTAAAGATTTTGGTTTGATCCTAATTTCTTTGTGATTTTCATATTCCTTTTGCATAATACCTTTATTCATGGGAGCATTTTTGTGCTACTGCATTAAATTATGGCAGTGTTTATTTTTGAAAACATGTCATAAATTTTTTACATATTAATTATTGTTAAGTTGTTCAAGTATAAGTGAACTACAGATAAAGTTAGATTTAATAACTAATATATAATAAAAAAATGACTTATAAACTTGATTTTTTAAATTTTGAATTAAGATATAATATCCTTTTGCTACTCTTAACCTCTTGTTATCTTCCCCGTTTTTGAAAGATCGCTCCCATTCTTAAGGATTACTCCATCTAGACCACAATATAGATTATCTTTTAGAAGCTTTGCTTGGTCCAAGATTATAAAGTATTGGGTAAATTTTATAATTATTTTTTCAACTATACCCTATTTCGTTTATTATTTTCTTTTAAAAATGATCCGTTAGAATTTTAATTATGATTATCAAATCACTTATATAGGGTATTTAATCAAGGTAAAATTGAAAAGATGTAAATTTTTTAACAACTAAGATTTCAACTAATATTTTTTAAAGAACCGTGACTTAATCACTAATGCTCTATATTTTGGTAAGGAGATAATATATCACAAATAAACAACTCACTCCCTTTTCTAGAATTTACAAATTAGTGGAAAAACTTTGATTCCTTAACTACTAAGCACAAATAATAAAATAGTGGAAAAGCGTTGATTCCGTACTTAAATGGCTGAAGGTTCTTTCCTTGGAAAAATAAACATGCCATTACATATGATGATTCATGACGGTGGTTTTCGTTCCATGTCATGCATGGGGACATTTCACAATTTTTTAATTAATAGTTTTATTTAATATCAAAAGAAAAAAAAGTCTGGTTAGCATGGATATTTGTCCATAACCTATAAGATTGTGAGATTGGATTCTATTGTTGATGCGAGGATTTTGCTAATAAAAAATATTTATAAATGGTTTATAAATACTTTTGTAAACATGTTTTGAACAAAAGCATGTCATGACTCTAATTAGCTCTTGAAATCTAACTTAAACTTTCCATCATTAAAAATATTTTTGTTTAATTAGCTTGGATATTTGTCCAGAACCTATAAGATTGAGATTAGATTCTATTGTCGATGGGAGAATTTTGTTGATAAACAGTTTATAAATACTTTTGTAAATATATTTTGAACTCAAAAGCATGTCATGACTCTAATAAGCTCCTAAAATCTAGCTCACTTAAACTTTCAATCATTAAAAATATATTTATTTACTCAATTATTTTAGTTTTTATATGTTAAAATGAAGCAATTATATCATTTTGAAATATATGATTTACATCAAAATCGTTCAATTCATAAGTCAAAAATATTACGAGATTCATAATTTAAACGTTTTGTAATGTACCAAAAAATGTCTAAAAAATGGGGGGAAGATAAAGAAATCTCTCTGATGTGGGGCAGTATCAAGAGGAGTGGTGGCTATCACAGTTTTTCACCTTTAATATTTTAAAAGAATGCTTCGAACTTGATGTTAAAGAAATATTTTTCATGAAGTTAATTTTTGTCCCTAATAGGGACTTCGATCTCTTGCAATATATTATTTTGTAATATAAATTTACTAGTGTGAACGGAAGAAAATTAGACTGAAAGTCATGTGAAGCATTTTGGAAGGTTATCGTTTGCCTTGAATAGATCAATTCCACCTAATCCAATACCCATACGAGGATTGTGTGAGTAATGATATCTCATTGTATGATTTTATTTACATTATTTACTCAATAACTAGTTTACAATTGTTCAATAGGAAGTATTATCACAATTAGTATTACAGGATGATATAGGTGGATATGCGGACATCCTTGGTAAGGCATTAGGAGCCTTAAAGGTCCCTAGTCACATTAGAGGAATTGGATCTCAAGGTACATACTTTGGACATCAGTCTAAAGTTTTTACTGAAGATGACTTTAATTCAAAATAGCAAAAAGGGAGGCAAGAATGGGAAAAAAAAAAATTCAAGATCACATGGAAAAAAGATTACATCAAGTGATTGGGTAGTAAATGTGTCACAAGTCAACCCCAATGATAAAGATAGTTGCTCATTTTACACTATCGAAGATTTTTCCAAGGTTATAATTTCTTTTTATTCATGAATTATATGTCACATTTTCTTAAAACATTAATTTATTAATTTTTTTAAGGTGAATCACAATGTCAATTATGGTTAGAATCACCACATTATCATATTGTGGCACTCGAACCTATGAATAATGATAATAGCATTACTATACACCCTAAACCTTTGCCTGCTGATCACTTGAAGGTGACTATAACTATCCCAATAGAAAATAATGCTGAGTTGCCACTGCAAATAGCAAATGAGGATATATTCACAATTTTTGACACGGCTAGCACTTATGTGGCTTGGCTTACAATGGTTATTAAGTTATAGGGATAATAATTGCTGGTTCTTTAAAATCATTTATGTTTAATTTTAGCATTACCAATTAATTTTACATTTTGTAGTCCTCAAAATCTCAAGAAACAATAAAGAAGCCAATCAAATCAAAAGAAAAGGTATAGAAGGAATCTACCTCTATAACTAAGGTAGGGAAGACTGGCGCAGAATCTACTCAGCTAAAATATCCTCATTAAAACACACGTGAAGTGATTATATGGACAACATTTAAAAATAAGATTCTTGAAATAAAATTTAAAAATGAGATTTATGGTGAAATGATTAGCGAAAAATTAGTGGCTGAAAATGTTAATGAGATTCTGACCAAGGATTGGCTACAAACCACACAAATTAGTTTATACATCAGGTACTTTTTAAATTTTATTTTTTATTGTGGTATTTATTTAATATTAGTTGTGATTATTTGTATTTTTTTATTTTAGGTACTTGTAACATACTTTTATGGTGCCGAGCTCAATAATGATGAAATTTTCATTTGTTAGCCCTCACAACACAAGTTCCTACAATTTTGATTATCATTCTCAAAAGATTACCGATGCATTCAAGGCCAAAAGCAAGAGAAACATATTATTTTGAGCTTGTCACAATCCAGATTGAGTTGTTATTATTATTTATCTTTAAATCTAGTTAACATTTGAGTTAATGAAATATTAGGCAACATTGCATGCTTGTTTGTATCCATCTTGTCACGCCCCGAAAATAGAGGGTGACCGACATGGGTATAAATTACATCATGCATTTTCATAAGCCTCAAAATGTAAATTTGTTTCATTTTCATTTTTTAATAATTGAGTTATATGAAAATTCTAACACTTTAAATATTAATTGTCATAACAAAGTTTCAATATTTTTGTAAAAATTTCGGTAGAACTTGTTCTGTAAATAGGATCTCCTAAAAATTATACAACACAAAAATTTTCACAAAATATAATATCAGACAAGAGCTTAGCTCCTTCTAGCTAGCAAACA